GCCAGGATGGTCTCGATTTCCTGACCTCGTGATCCGCCCGCCTCGGCCTCCCAGAGTGCTGGGATCACAGGCGTGAGCCACCGCATCTGGCCCTCTGGCTTTTATTCACAATAAAGTTTTCAGGGTTCATCCTCATTGTAGCATGGACGAGAACATTGCTCGTTTTTACTCCACCGTGTGGACGGACCACGTTTTGTGTGTCTGTCATGAGTTGACAGCCATGTGGGCTGCTGTAAACAGTGGTGCTGATGTCAGTGTGCACGCGCAGCCTCAGGTGGACACGCCTGTGCTGCACACGTGGACGGCGGGTTCTGTCAGGACGTGGCGGCACTTGTGCCTCATGGTGTTTAAGATGTTTCCGTCTCAAGCTGACAAGTTCTGAGGTTGAAATAAATGCAGCCTGGCATCCAGGGTACCCAGGGTCATGTCTGCCCTCTCAGTGTCCAGGATTCTAGTTTCATGACCTTCCGTCCAGACCTTTCCTTGTTGTCCATCGTCAGAGGAGGGGCCGTGGTTGCTGTGTGTGGCCATGACACCTCCCCTGGCGTCCCTGTGCCTGCAGAGCGAGCGCTGTACAGCATGGAGTGTGCCTTCCACCCCCTGTTCAGTCTCACCAGCGGGGCCTGCCGGCTGGATTACCGCAGACCCGAGAACAGGTGAGTGCAGCCGCCCTGGAGGGGACGCAGCTCCCCCTCCCTTCTCCTGCGAGTGAGGCTGGGGGAGGTGCAGCGGGCACCGCATGACTGCCCCCCAGGGTGGACCAGGGCCCACAGGTCCAGAGCGACCCGCCTTGCTCTCTCTGGGCCCAAGGATGGAGGGATTGGATTGGCTCAGCCCAGGTTTACATTTGTCTGTGGATATGCCTGATGCCACTCTGGAGGTCAGAGTGGGAGGTCTGCTGAGCCCAGGAGTTCAAGTCCAGCCTGGGCACCAAAGTGAGACCCCATCTCTTAAAAAATAAAAATAAAAATAAATGTTTGTGTTAGAAATGAGCCTGGCTGGGCACAGTGGTTCACGCCTGTAGTCCCAGCACTCTGGGAGGCTGAGGTGGGAGGATTGCTTGAGCCCAGGTGTCAAGACCAGTCTGAGCACCGTGGCAAGATGCAGTCTGTACAGAACAATTTTTTTTTTTTTTTTTTT